TTGGGTGTAGAATCCCAAGTCCTGTGGTCTGTGTCCTATAGCTAATTCCCCAGATAAGTCTTGCCTCTCTTGAGTGCAGGGAACTGCAAGACAAAATCTGTATTCCAAGTTTTAGTTCAAAATTGTATTTGTGATGGGCTCCAACAGTCTAAATCCTCCTTGAGAACCTTGCCTTTTTTAAGGTTATGAGTTATAATGAGTTCTCCTAGGTAAGTTAAGTGGCTGGCAAGCATGGTTTGCTGATTTAAGGGATGAAGGTGATGAAGTACTACACCAGTCAATTGTTATAGGTATCAGCATAAGCAGAAGAGGAGTTAGACCTATTTCTAAAGAGATTGCTGTTAATCTGGGGAACTAGGTCTTTTATATCTCTGTCCATCCTAACATACCCAAGGCAGATATATATATTGCAGTAGCCTACCTAAAACTACCTGTATACCAAACTGGAAGTATGTCATCATTTTCAATTTTTGACATTGCATGCAAATTAGAAATTTCACTAAAATGACTGTGTTTTAATTGAGACGATAAAGCTGTCATAATGCTGAAGTGTTTCTGCCTCATTTAACAGAGCCTTAAAAACTGTATGCAATCAGACATATGCAGTAATGGTGTTGTATTAGTGCTTTGTTCAATAAGTTGTAAACTTAAACCTATATGCCATTTAATTCTTGTTGTTAATCATTTATTTAAAAACAGAAATTTAATGCCCAAAATCCTATTGTTATATGTTGCATATTTTAAAGCACAAAATGGGGAAATGAACTGTTACATTCTTGCATTAATTGACCAGTAGTTAAGGATCCTGACCTATTATGGTCATTCTGAGCTATTTTTAATAGAAGAATTGTTCTATTATTTTTCTTTAGTTAAGTAACACAGGGGCTTTCAACCTTTTTTTAAGGCATGTACCCTGTAGCAGGGCACTAGGGTGCCTGCTACTGGTGTTGGTAATAGGGCTTGGCTGCCAATCACTAGGGCAGCTCAGGTGACGGTTGCTGGGGCAGCTGTGCTGGTCAGGTGACCAGGAGGGGGCAGGGTCAGGCCTTTATAAATAGCCCAGGCCATAGCCTAGCTGGCAGTTCCCCTCTGGCAGCCGGAGGAGCAACAGCTCTGCTGCAGAGCGGAGGAGCAACAGCTCTGCTGCAGAGCAGAGGAGCCTGATTGCCTGACTGCCGAACCTCTGCAAAATGATATGGGGTGGAGGGAACCCTGACAGGGAGATGGAGAATAGCCAGGGCAGCGCGGAGCGTATGTTATAGCTGGTAGGCTGATTTTGTGTTGCAGCCGGTGGGCTCAGGGCTTTATGTTTATCGTTGGGTTTGGTGTTATACCGGAGGACCGGGTGAGGCTGTAGGGGTGCGAGGAGGCCTCATGGGAACTCCCGAGGAGTCTGGGGGTTCCTGGGTGCCCTGTTCGGGCACAGCAAGCAGTGCCTGAGAGGCACGGCTGTTTGGCGCCGGTGTGGCACGGTGTATGGGGGTTGAGACCCCAGCCCATGAGGGCGGTATTCTGCCCAGTAGGGCAAAGGACCCTGAGAAGGGTCAAGGGGCCAGGCACGGCTACGGGCCACCTGAGCCCGAGCGCGAGAGGCGCGGGACAGGCCCCAGAGAGCGCGAGAGGCGCGGGACAGGCCCCAGAGAGGGCGAGAGCGCGAGGAGAGCAAGGCATAGGCCCAAGTGGGGGCGAGCGCAAGGTATAGGCCATAGAGCGGCCGTGAATACGGGAATAGGGAGCCCAGGTAGGGCCTACGAGGTTTAAAAGGCCGGAGAAGGGCGGGCGCGCGATTAGAAGCCCAGAAAAGGGCAGGCGCGCGGTTAGAAGCCCGGGGAGGGCACGTATAAGATTAGAGTGTCCGGTGAGGACAAGGATACGGGAGAAGCCCTAGACAAGGGCGAATCGATTGGGAAGCCCCTGAAAAGGGGCGAGGGCAAGTCTAAAGAACCCGGAAGGGCAGAGCACGCGAGCAGGAGTCCGGAGAGGGCAGGGCGCACGGGTAAAGGCCCGGAGAGGGCACGCGTATCAGAAATCAGAGGGGCCCCGGAGAGGGCGCGTATACCGGAGAGGCCCCGGAGAGGGCGCGTACATGGAGACACGAGAACGTCCGGAACACCGGTGAGGCTTGGGCGTGGTATTGGGGGCGGAAGGAGCCACGCGATGCCCTAGGGTGGGTGCACCAAGAGATATCCGTATAGGGCAAGAGCACCGGGTCCGAGAAGCCCAGGAAAGGCAGCCTCCCATTAATATTATATAAACAGCAAAGACGTGGCGGGCGAGACGAGGGTGCTAGAAGGGCAACTTGGCACGGTAGGGGCGCAGGAGAGATCACGGCCACTCCTGGGTCCCCGCCCTGTGACATACCCTTCTGGAGGGTACCCCTTCTAGAACGTACCTTCCAGACGAGGTGGGGGAAGAGAGGGGTGCTGATGGCTGGCTGGACGCAAAGCCAGCAGCACATGACAGTATGTGACTGATGGTGGGGGATGGGGAGCTCGCATGCGGCTGCCACCATTCACCACTCCGCCCCACCGCTGCACACCACTTCCCCACTCCGCCGCACATTCCCCTGGAGCCCTCCCAAGTACCGCCGGGGATACACGTGCCCCCAGTTGACAACCCCTGAAGTAACACATCAAAGCAAAGAGCTAGCATTTTCTGAGAGGTGCCCAGAATCTAAAAACGTTGAGAATCACTGATCTAAGGATCTCAAAAAAACATAGAAAATGCAAGTCCTATAAGAGTATTGTGAAGTAAATATTTCAGAAGAGTAGAAACAAATCAGAGTATCACAGAGTAAGTGACCAGCAGAACTGGGAAGATAATTCAAAACTCTTGACTCTGTTTTGTGCTTCAGCCTAAAGTTTTGCTTTAAAATCTTATTTTTTTACTCAGGTTTTTCATGCCTTTACATTTGTAATCATATAGTAGTATTAACACACTTTCTGCCATTTGTTCCATTAGTACAATAGTTCTCAACCTTCTTAGACTCAAGGCAATCCTCATTAAATTCATGGCACCCCTTGAAAAATGCCAGCTCTTAGTTTTCACACACTTTTTGACTACAGAAAAATAACAGAACAATTTTTATTTTGCAGAGGACTCAGAAATGCCACAGGAGGTCAGAATGTTTCTAACACTAGATTCCTATTTTAAATCTCTGGGTTTATGGCACCCCATTTGAGAATCCCTTCAATATTAGGTACTTAGAGTATACACATCATTTAACTTTAAAATATGAATGTTGTCAAACTATAGATAGTTTTTCTCAAGTAGCTATTGTAAGACACTTTTAACTTTGTTAGATTCATGTACTTGTTCTGGTGTTTTACTTGTTCTAGATGTGTTGATTTTTTTGTGGTATGTGTGAGAAGCAGATTTGTTCATGAATCAAGTGACTTTGAAATACCAATTACCTTAACTAAGAAAAACATACCAAAGAGAACCATTTCTACTCATCCAGTGATTCTGACTCTGAAGAAGATGAACCTAGAAGGTTCCACGTAGAAATCAAACCTGTACTGCCAAACAATAGTTCACACTACACTATGGCTTCACTGGATGAATTAAAAGTATCTATTGGCAATATTGCTCTTTCTCCAGCAACATCTGTAAGTAATTTTCTTCCTTGCATTTTATTTTATTAGAGAGGAAAAGGTGTTATACTTTCAGTCAAAATTTGAAATTTTCAAATCAGCATCTTTTCACAAAAAAGGGATGCATGCATTTTATTTGCACTTAATGCAAAGTAATTCTAATTCTGTAGCTGAATTTTCCCTTCAGGTTTTTAGGACAAATCCCCTGAAAGACATTTTATATTTTTTTGTGTGTGTGGTATATAATGTGCTGTAGTCCCCAAATTTAGGCATTTGGTCCCTGGAATGGAATGTTAAATCAGTTACTCTTCCAGACTCCCTCTACCACAGCTGTGTCAGTCATGTCATCTGTGGGCTGTGCCTGGCCCACAGAGCCCCACCATCTGACCCCTGGTGAGGCCTTTGGATCCCAGCTGACCCACGTGAGGCATGGCACGTGCTGTACCAGCCCCATGGGAAAGGCCTGGGATATCTGCTGCACACAACATCCATCCCAGCCACTCTGGCACTTCAGTGAATGGGTGGATGCATGCAGCACAGATCCCAGAACAGCTGGAATAGGCACTATGTGCAATGCAGTCTCACTGGGGGTGTGTACTGCAGACCCCAGACCAGTTGCAGCAGGCCACACACTGTGCCCACCTTGGCTGGACTGGTAAGCCAGCCACAAAAACATTCCACATTTAATGTAGAACACCTTTGTGATTGGTCTGTATCCCACTTAAATTGAACATGTGGCATATGTCCCAAGTCCAGTCCTGGCCTTTGCCTGATCCTGTGGCCCAGCTGATGGTTTAATTTAAAATGGGATATTGGATTGTGTGGGAACTTGAGGGTCCAGGCATGATGGTCAATTTTGGGGATCAGATTTGGGATTCCAGTCACGCAATTATATTAATATCTACCAGGGGCCATAGATAGCTCAGCAGGGCAGCTAGAAAACCTTTACAAACACTCACCCTGTAAGTGGGAGAACTGAGTGATGGGCTGCTCTCAGCCTGAGGAAATTAAAGCCTGCATTTCCCAACCTTCTAGCTAAGTGCTCTACCCAGCTGGGTAGACACCTTCTACCTTTCCTGTTAAAAAGGTAGAAGGTACTCAACTACTGTGCATCCAAGAATGCAAGATTAATGAGAGAGAGAGAGTAAGCAGAAGGGAGCATGATCTTAGAAGTAAGGTCGGAAGGGACCTTATAGATCTTCAAGTCCGACCCCCTGCCAGGGCAGGAGAAAAAACTAGGCTCAAATGATCCCAGCTAGGTAGGCATCAAGCCTCCTCTTCAAGACTCCCGGGGTAGGAGCCAGCACCACTTCCCTTGGAAGTTGGTTCCAGATCCTAGCCGCCCTAATTGTGAAGTAGTTCTTACGGATGTCTAATCTAAACCTACTCTCCAACAACTTGTGGCCGTTATTCCTTGTTATGCCAGGGGGCACTAGGGGAAACAAGGTCTCTCCCAAACCCTTCTGGTCCCCCCTAGTGTGTTTATAGACTGTCACCAGGTCCCCCCTCAGC